TTAGTACCAGTGGTGAATTTTACTTCTTTAGATGTGCGAACCAAGATTTTAACGATAATTCATTCGGCTAACGTTTCAAAATATATACCTTTGTGCGAAACGAATTCTTTATGATTGGAACCATAATGTAACATAGTTCTCTACCTCTTTAATTTTTTTCAAGTTGGCAAAATTCTGAGATTCCGGTGGATTGTGCACTTCTGTAACCTTTTCGCCCCTTGCTGTTTTTCGTCACCTGCAACTTGGTGTTCCATTAAAGAATTTAAGTCCAGGCGAGTTTCTGCTCCTTTCATAGGCTTCCGATTCTCACGCCGACAGCTTACTTGTTTTTTGACCCTCAATGAATGAAGGTAACCGATTTGACGAGAAAGCCTTCGTGGTGAAAATTCCGGCGTCCTCACCTTCACTAGCAAGTGCCATGTTCTGACCATCCAATGAAGGTGCCCCCTACCACCGCAGTGCCATCTTTTCCACGTTGCTTTCCATTTGATTACCCTCACTGCTGCTTTTTTTTGATTACCCTCACTGCTGCTTCTTATACGACCTTGAGTTCCCATTATTGTGTAGACCATGGCTATCGCTGGAAGAACAGTGGATCAAAGTGAATTAGTTGGATCAGTTTGCAAAATACTCAAGAATTTCCAGCCGACACTTCTAAAGGTATCCAAGTGTTGAGAGAAGACCAAAATGTGGGGTTTTGGAGCGCGTTAGATGTTCTCCTCTAGGAGATGTCTGTTCGGCAGATAATCTGTTGTTACGTACCCAGATAAAAATGTTACTGTATCGCCAAAAATGAGTGATGATTTACCGATAATCTCTTCGACAGTAGGCAACGCTTTTAATAGCAAGTCCTCGTGACCTGATTGTTTTAAAAAGAGCTTAATTCTAAAAAGATAATATGAGACTCGTTAATTTTGTTAGACAGCTCAAGTATACCCGTCCACTAGATGTGTCGGATCGTATTGTCCACGGTTGTAACCATCTATCAATTTAATAGTCTAAATTTGAGCAATTATTAACTGCAGGACTTTTGAAGATGTTCCCGATTCATATCGTACACAAAATCCAGAGCACCGCTATCTTCACCGACAGCTTCAAAGGTACGATTTACAACTGGATTACTCTCATCGTCCTGCAGTCACCATTATTAACAACAATAGTAATATTACAGTTAAGAGACCTACAAAAAGATTGGAGGAATGACACTGACCAAGATCTCATGGGTGACATCTTTTACTTTTCTCTCAAACATTTCTTCTGACAGACGATCAAGTAGTTTTTTTCTTGCGTCGTTCCCAATGTCATGTGAAGATTCATTTTTTCCATCAGGGCTCCCATCAACAGAATTTGAGAAAGAACTTGATGCTTTCATTGTTTAAAGTAACATAACCCTGTATTAAAATACAGTGAAGCGAAGGCTCCGTAAACAGGGCTGTTAAAAGGTCATCTATGATTTTCCTATGCTCAAGAACTACCTTCTTGCCAAACAGGTTTTCTAATGCAACCATTCTGACTTTTATCTGAAGGCCCCTTCATGGCGATCACGAATAATGCTAAAGTCTATGGAAGCTTGCCATTATTCCGTAATGCTAGGCCGTTCTGCCTACCTATCCCTGATCGACAATCTGTCCAAAAGAAGTCTATTCACATCGATTTTATGAGCCTGTTTTTGAAGTTGGCTCGCATCAGAAGTGCTAGGTGAGTAATGGCGACTATTTGTGACTATTTGACATGGGCATTTGCCGTAAGCAGAATTCAGACCGGGTCTTGCTGTAGTGCTGTAGATCCCCTTGCGAATTTCTGTCTTTGAATGCTCACCCATTTGAACTTGAGTTGATCAACAGGATGTTGAAATTAGGCAAGTTTAATGTTTAATCAAAGTTGAAAGATAAGACTTTGGAGCAAATCAGTCCTGTTAGTGAGGACGCTTTCGACTTACTATCTGCACCACATTACTTATAGTAGCGCTCGAAAGCCTTCGGCCAAACGCTCTTGCGCGTTTTCGTTTACAACTGTTTTCTCAGTGGAGCAAATCGCGCGAAATTTTGATGTGTTTAACTGAAGCTACTTCACACTATCCAATACTACTTGACTGCGAAGCAGCAATATTCGCATAAATAAGGGGAACGCGTTTGTTGCGGTAGTAGACTTCGCTGAAGCAAAGTTATTGACGTCTGCAATTATTCGCATCTTATGTGCGTCTTTCTCCTTCACTGTGCTCGGCATTAGCGTTCGTACACTTTGGACATGACTAAGAGGAAAGAAGTCCCAGAAGGACCTATGTCTGTATTTCCAGTTGATCCCGATTTCAAGCTCTTTGGGTTACTAGAACATGATCAAAGTGCAGGTTGGTAGTGGTAAACATTCACATTAGACCCATGCTACCCATATTGAAATTCAGCATGATCAGTTCAAGTTTGGTCGACGACTTCTGAGCGCTACTGTATGTCGCTAGTGATATTCAATTCATTTGACATTCGATAACTTCAGAATATGAATGGTAATTCACCTGGTTAATCTGTTTCTTACTAGTTTAGATACATCCAGTTACCCATTGTTCACAATTTTCACACTCACAATTTTCACACATTATAGTCGAGAGTCTCTTCCAAATGGTAATTTTCTTCTCCCTCAATTGTAAAAAAGCATCCCGAACTCTTCGATGTGCTCCCAATAAACCGTGACTTTGACGCGCTCGTAGCGTACCGCACTCCGAGACAGAGAGCTGTTCTTGTTCTTAAGCCTAGAAAACGTTCCACTAATACCCGGGACATCAGAATTCAAGTGCTACTTCATGCATGCCGGCATGAAGTTCGTTTAGGTATGAAAACCCGATGAGCCGAAGCAATCGGAGCCACGTGAGGCAGGCCTCGTTACTACTAGGGAGTTACCGTGTTGTAGGATTGCTCTGCTTCTGCCAGCGGGGCTAATCCTTGTGCATTGCTTATACTCTGCATGGCTTCAACTGAAGCTATACCTCCTCTTTCTACTGCTTTTCTATGATACTCTATACTTACTGTCACCCTTATAACCTTTTGTTGAATATTCATTTTGTTCATTCTTTATTTTCTCACTGTCTCTCACTGTCCCTTCGAAAACGAGCCATGAACTAATACGAAATCACCGCCCTTGTAGAGAAGGTTTTGCCGTGTAGATTCCTTATACTAATAAATTAAAACTTTCCCTTCAGTGCGCGAGATTGGGAGCGGCACAAAGTTCGGGTAGAAGATACAAAGCCTGAAATTTTAGCCTTTGTGATCATTAAATCGATTTTTTTCAAACTGTTTTCATCGAAAAACCTGCTTGGCACAGCTATTAGTCATGTG